TATGAGTAAATAGTTCTGGTAGTGTAGCGAGTTTCTTCTTGCTACACCATTCCCTTGTACCCTTATAGCTCCCTGAGCACTTCATGGCACCTCTTTTGACAAGTGGGTAAGATAACATATAAGTACAAGATAAAAATCCTCATGATTTATGGCACTTCCCTCAGATATCTTTATTCCCTCCATGCTTTTGTCTATATTTGTCTCCTTGACCCAATCGCATGAGTACCCACCTCCTTTTATGTAAATGAACTTGGCAAGCACGAATTAAGAATTCTCATAATGCATGTGCAACCCCCTCCCCCCCTCCCCTCTTACCACAGTCAACACCCATGCCCTTGGTATCCCCTTCCCCCCCCCTCTCCCTCTCCCTCCTTTAATATTATTAGCTTCCGCAGGTTTCTCATGATTCGCCATTTTCTTTTAATAGATAGAGTAAATTCAAACTACGAACACCCGAGATTAAGATTGGCCAAGGTCATACAGAAGAGTTAATGCATTTTGTGGCTGTGCAGGAAGGCAAGGTTGATGAATTGCTCCCTGTAAACTGTTAATAGAATGAATAAACATTAGTAAGGATTTTTTTTTGTGAGTGTGTGTGAGTGTGTGTGAGTGTGTGAGTGTGTGAGTGTGTGTGTGTGAGTGTGTGTGTGTGTGTGTGTGTGTGTGTGTGTGTGTGTGTGTGTGTGTGTGTGTGTGTGTGTGTGTGTGTGTGTGTGTGTGTGTTAAAAGTATTATCCTCATTAGGTTACTGAGGTTTAAGTAACTCAATATTTTAAAAAGCTCAGTATTTGTAAAAAGTATTTATTATTGCTGTCCCAGTGATAGAATGAGGTTGTAAAAATGGGTGATTAATCTTCAATCCATGATAAGTAATTTCAGGGCCTTGTTATCGTAGTTTATCTACCTCAGAAATTGTTAACAAAGTTGTTCATCCTCTTTCTTCATCTTCCTTTCTCATGAATACAAATACTGAGCCCGTCTCTCCCTTTTAGTCTTGTTGATATATTACAAACTATAAGTAATGAGAACTTATGAATGATGTGTATAAATTGTTTAATTAGATAAACTTGGGTGGTTAAGGTTGTTTGAAGACTTAGTATTATAATTTGGTAAATATATTGATCCTCAAATGTTCTACTATGCTATAAACCTTATCTTGAAAGTGATATGGTTACATTAATCTGACTGCAGGCTATCTTAAAACTGGAAGAATTTTAGAATTGAGGGATGAAGTCATAGGATCATACATATGTGAGAGGGGATTTTTGAGGCAGCATTTTTTGGCACTTGTTAGAATTGCAGTTATTGTAAGAAAACAGTTATTGATATTCATTGCTATTCACTGCTTTTTTATAGGGTAAAAATGGAAGAAAGTGTCTGTTATTTCTGTGTCCTTTATTTCCTCGCCCTCCTCCTCATTCTCATTTTCTTTCTTTTCTTTCTCTTCCTGCTCCTCCTTTTTATCCTCCCTCTTCCCCTCTCCCTCCATCTCTTCTTCTTCCTCATGCTTCACTTCATCATCATCATCAATCATGCATTGATATTTTATAGGCTTATAGGAGAGTAAAAACTTTATGTAACAAAATGGTAATTGATAGAATTGTGTACTTAGTCAAGTCCTATAACTTTTGTGCTAAAACCTTGGTTCAAGCCGACCATTAAAAACATAAACAAAATCAGAGTGTAAAAAAATGATTATTAATATCAGTCTAGTATGTCAACAACATCACAGCCTGAATTTTAAATTTCATTTTAGTGTTCTTGTCAATCTTTTTATTTATTTTTTTCTCGTGAATATCAAGTTTTGTAACATATAACACTCATTTACAAGCAATTACTCCTGCACATGGTGTCGATAAGTGAGAGGTGCTGTAGGTCTTGAAATTTCACAAGTAGATTATGACAGATGTTTCACCTGTTTTTGGCTTCTTTTTTCTAAAAGTTCAAATCAGAGTAAATTATTGTTGTTCTTAGTGATATAGATTCAATTCAGTTTTGATACCACCAACATGTGTGAACTCTTCTGTAGAACAGACAGGAATCTGGGTTTATTATTAGAGTTTTATAATATATAATGTGGTATCATCGGATCTTTTTAAAGTTTAACAGCTTGATGTTCATGAAAGACTATAGTTCTTCATTGTTTGAGATTGTTTTTTAATGGCAGCACAGGGAAATTGTATGATACACATCAAAATAGGAGGAGGAGAATAACAACAGTGAAGAGAAAGAAGAAAAAGAAAATAATAATCATGTAGCCTTTCCCCTGTTTTGTATTTGTTAAGTGGCCAAAGATCTCCAAGTCTATTTGGATATTTTTCATAATTCTAGTTTGTTAGACCTTACATTTAATTACAGAAGTCTGGAGTAACTTTGAATATATGTAAATGATATTTGTAAATGCTTTATATTACTGTCCTGTATGAGTTATTACCATAAGTGTTAGATTGGCTTCAAAATTTGAGTTCATTCATACCTGTAGAAAAGGTATGAATAAGAATGAATATCTTGCTCTGTAAAGATATTCATTCTCATCCATACCTTTTTTTGCAAAGTTTGACATCATAACCTGTATGTATTACTACACGGTAAAATATCCTCATTTGCATAAATAAACATAGGACACCTTTTTTCAAATGGGGCAAGTCATGTTTTTTATTATTTCCATTTGGAGGGGAGAGAATTATGTTGTTGTTTTTTAGCAGATAGAGCCATCTTCATAAGGATATCTTGATACTTTTGTCTAAAGTCCACCAAATGTTTGTATTAAGAATATAATAACTTTTATTTAGATTTTTAGCCATAAAAAGGAAAAAAATCAGTATATAAGTAGGAATAAACTCAGGATTGATAAAAGAAGAGAGTGTTAGCTTATAAAATGACATAGAAATTGAACCTGAATCTGTTTCAGGCTTGAGTTGCCAGAGTACATATGCTTGGCAAAAACAAAGCAAGAGAGGCAACCGTTGGGGGGGCATATTTTTGCTAATCTCCCTTAGTCTCACGGACACTCGAGTTCTGTAACACAGTGACTTGATTAGAATTCTTAGATATTTGCAAACTTAGATTGTAAGAAATGATAAAATTGTATTAGTATTGGAAATTGTGGTTGTGTGCCTTGATATTGTCAGCTCTTGTAATGTTGAATTGTATTAAATTCTAGGGAGTCAAAAATAGTTTTGTAGTTTTTTTGGGGTGTGGGGGGAGAGAGGCATAAATGTTACATCAAGATATACAGCCTAATGTAAAATCATCACCTAAATTTAATTTTTGTATTAGAATTAGACTTATGACAAAATGCAAATGAGGTCAATTTGATCTAACTGGTTTGATTATTTTATTTTATTTTATTTTATTTTACGTCTTGCTAATAATAACACACTACATTGCACTATTGATTTGTTAACTCTTAGAATTGTATATGTAGTTTCTTTCATGAAATTATCCTTGAAAATAGAAGGAGTGCCTATCTTCCTCTTTTTACATGTGTATTTTTTGTTTCATTAAATCTTTTTTACATTTCTTTTAACCTTATGATATACTTAATTAATTTTTCATTCTTATCTATTGGATGTAGAGGTTATATTTATAAATACATTATTTATATATACATAATAAGCTGTGTGTAGTACAAATCACTGAGATATAAATTCTTGATCATCTAAGAGCCCAGTACATGAGCAGGTGAAATGCAGCTGAATAGCTCTCAACCATGCTGAAACAATGCAGTCATCATGAGAGCATTCAAAAAGCTGTTGAAATAAAGCAGCTGAACTGTCCAGCCAAACTACATTAATGGTTTCAACCTATCTCAGATAAATGAAAATGAACTTTATACAAATAGTCTGCATGCAGGTTTCTTCCTAGAAACAGAAAGAGAAGAAAGTGAGACTTGTTGCACTCCTCCTGCAACAGCAAATCAACCATCAATCAAAGGGTTTCATATTATGATTTGGAATCATCAACAACACCATTACAAAATTGAAGAAATTGCAGAAAGCAAGAATTATAGAACAGGATGTTGCAATCATTCCAACCTCCAGATATTATCCACTGTCAAGTGCTGGTGACTAATGACAGGTGCAATGGACCAGCTGTGACCATTGTCAATACTTTTTGGTACAGGTGTCCATTGAAATACACATTTCCCCGAGATAAAGACTTAGTGACAGGCAGTGGCAGTTTTAGGCAGTTGATTAGATGGGTTTAGTATTGAATTATACAGATAGAATTAGTCAAATGCCATATTTTTAAGCTTTTGTAGATGTGAATGCGCAAGGTCTTTTTTATAGTCTTCTGGTATATATTAAAGCCGTGAATTCAAAAGGTTTTCACATTATGACTTCCGCATTTTGTTTCTGGTAAACTATATAAAAATTGTGAATACTGTATTTCATTTGCTACATTGGTTCTATTATGGTTTCCAGAAAACTTATTTCTGCTCACATGTATAAAGCAAAGCGAAATCCATAAATGCATAAACAGTGGGTTAATTTGATAAAAATTTCAAAATAGTCAATTATGAAAGGTTGAACATGCCAGTAATCTTTTTAATTGGAGTTGTATAATATTCAATATTTTATTATGCAACAGGTCTAAGAAACTCCACATTTTTATCATATCCATGATCTCGTGAAAAGTGAGAAAAAGAATAAAAGGTCCTTATTAACCCATTGCCGCCGGGGATGGCGTGTACATACATGCCATGCCCACTGTGAGTTGACTTGTTCGATTGTTTTTACACATAGATGGCTACACTTGTACTAAGTAACCAATGAGCCTAATTTGCTGTGAAAAATAACATCATCTATATTTATAGCACTAGTAAGAATACGTTTTTTCCCGCCAACTCAAGGAAAGGTGAAATCAGGACTAGCAGAGCCATCTATGGACAGAGATATTTCACAAAATTATAAAAAAATGAGTACAGCATTTTCCCCATTTTTTGTTCATTTTCCCCAGCGGCAATGGGTTAAGCCTATTTTCTTCTCTTCCCTTAGGTCAGGGGGTGAGAGATGAGATAGCAAAGGCCTGGAAAAGAATCAGCCAGGATGAAGATCACAGTATGGAGCGTCTTGAGTGGCAAGGCCTCGGGCCATATCGTTATAAATGTACCTGAAACTCAAACAATTGGCGATATCCTGGACAAGTTTTTGAATTTTAAGGTGAGTGATCTCTTAGTACGTGTATGTGTAAGTATGGATGTGTGTGTGTGTATCAAGAGATTTGAATATAATGAAATAGCCGTTTTGAAAACAATTCTGGGGACTAAACCTTTATTGTGTTTTCAGGGCGCTCCAAAATGTCCAGGATACGTCATGCGGAGCAGCGACAACCTTGCACTCGACCCACGCAAGACATTGAAACAGTCCAGCATTCAGGATGGGGACACTCTCACCCTTGGCCTCTCAGGTATGCCCAGGAAAGGAGTCTCTTATGCCCTCTGTGTATGTTGATTGTTGTCATTCAGAGGGTTAGCAGAAGTAGATAAATGTACTACTATGACTGATATTCTCTTGACAGGCCTGTACTTATTGCTTCAAGTAAATCTATTAATGTCTGGGTGTATGAGGAAGTCTATATAGTAGTTTTTATTAAAAAGTATATACATTTTTGGGCTTGCATGTAAGGTTATTTGTTTTAACAAAGTATAATGAATTGATGCCTCTGTAACACTTTTTGAGTAATTTTGACACTTCCTCTGTTGCAATCTAGAGTCATAATTTGACTCTGAAAGGAGAAAATTCAAATCATATTCTTAAATATCTTATTTTTGCATAGACTTTTCTGCAGCACAGAAGGCCTCTACTCTCAGCTGGAGTGATTGCCAGATGTGCAATGTAAGACAACTGATAAAAAGGAGTCGTATATATAGGGTTGTCAAGAGTAAGTCTTTTTACATATTTTTCTCTAGTATATCACAGTTTGGGGAATGCAGTTTAAATACACCTTGTTAACAGATCTTATTTACATGTACTTGGTACATCCATCCTTTTAAATGTGCTGTTGAAGTTTGCATGCTTTATAGGATATAGAAACATCCACAGTGATACTACAGCTGATTATATCAGATGTAGAACTATTACATCAATACACTGATTGTAAAAGCCCTTTCTGTAACACCAACTTCTTATTAGAATTTTTTTTTTAATTGTACTGACTTATCCTGGTATAAAACAAAATCACATAGACACAAAAGCAAGAACATGGATTTTAAACAAATGCTGGTATGACGAATTGGCTTGTTACATTTATGCAAGTCCACACTGAAAGCACAAAACCAATAGTTTCTTTAGTCAGGTTATTTTCTTCAATTACAGGTGTATAATATTTGCAGTTCACATTAAAATCAAATCTACATTCTCTCTCTCTCTCTCTCTCTCTCTCTCTCTCTCTCTCTCTCTCTCTCTCTCTCTCTCTCTCTCTCTCTCTCTCTCTCTCTCTCTCTCTCTCTCTCTCTCTCTCCCCCTCCCTCCCTCCCTCCCTCCCTCCCTCCCTCCCTCCCTCCCTCCCTCCCTCCCTCCCTCCTCTCCCCCATCTCCTGCAATCCTTTCCTCAAATGCTCTTCTAGATTGTTTTCCTCAAATGCTCTTCTAGATTGTTTAGTTATTCATCATTGATTCTTAATGATCAGGATTAAAAGAGTTTGAAGGCAAGAAACAGAAAATTGAGACATGTATTATCACATATTCCAGTCAGACACCTGTCTAATTATACACCAGGCATATGGCCATATTAGTGGAATATAAGTAAAGAAGGAAAAGTGTCATATTAATTTTTTATTTATTGCCAAGATGCTGGCTGGGCATATTTTTCATTAGAATAAAAGAATCACTGACTAAACAGCTGCCACATGAATCATTTAACTTACACCAAATATTATGTTCAGTAATATGACCTTGAAGATAATACATGTGTGTGTGAAAGAGTAAAGAGGGGAAAAAATATGATTTATCAAAAGTGATTTACAATATTTTGCTTTTAGATAGGCATGAAGAAGTTGTTGACAAAGTTGTTAAAAATTGTGGCCTTTAATGATAAATTTAACATGGATTGTGATGAAAGATTAACCATGTTTGCATTAAAAGGAAAAGCAAGTGTTTTGAACTGTGGAAAGATGAAGTAAAACGTACAGCCCATTAAAGAGATTAAAGGGTTGTAGGAAACACAGATCATACCTTGTAGGGCTATTGAATCTGTAATAACATAAAAGCAATGTCCTTTTTTTGTATGAGTACCTCGTGTGGCATATTAGCATTTTATATTTCTAATAATATTTTGTAATCCTCACACTATACTGTAATTGCTTCAAGTTGTCCAAAACCATTAATATATCTATATATATTATATTATGTTATCTTATACACAAATATGCATGGGGAAGAATATAATGATATTTATGCCTCAGACTTGGAAGAAAGCCTGAATTTTTTTACAAATGCACACAGTCCAGGAGGGCATTAAGCACAGAATACAGTCTGCAAACTATCATCAAAGGATGAGATATGGGGAGCTGTTGTGTATTATCCATGCTCTTGCTTTGGTAATAGACTGGAATGTAAATAATATTCACAGTATTTTACCAGTGATAAAGTATCATGTATAGGTGCTACAACCCTTATAATGTGGAATGATTTGAATTAAGTAAGTTTGATTATGGGACAAATAAACATATATCAGACATTCTTGAAATTAATTTTCATTGCTGAAAATTAATTTTATTACTTCATTAACACAAAAACAATAACTACACCACATAGATTATTAAGCCATTGGATCTGGGTGCCTCATGGCTGCTTGTGGCCCAAAATTTGGTTGTTAAACTTACATAAGACTCTCCTACATGTGTGGTTTGTAGGCCCTGATCACCAGTTGTGGGCATTAATAGGATCATGAACATGGAATTAGTGTTCTCCTTAGAGCCAGCACTCTTCCAGCCCTGGCTCACATGTGGTGCATTCCTCTCATTTATAATACAAGAGCCCCTTGATAAGTGCCCACTGAGTCTTATCTTCTACCAACAGCTTTGTGATAAGTCATTCCCACTGGGCCATTCCTATTACCTCAGCATTCTACCAAATTTTTCTTCACAGCATATTCAGATTATTCTGTGACAGCATATTCCCTTCACCTAGCCCACATCCAGTTTTTTCATGACAAGACAAATAGTCACCTGGATCCAATTGGTTAAATCATTTAAAAGTGATTTAATTACATAGTTAGAGGTGCTCTATTGATTTAACTTGAAAATTGTTCCATTAGGGAATCTGGTCACCCTCTTGGTGTTCAGTAAATGACAATAAATGATAGTTCCAGAAAACCTGTGTTCATGTTTTTTAAGACATGATGTACACTTGGAGGAATTTTGATCTATGACTGAAATCACTATAGCAAATAGCACAGAGCAGACACTCCATTGTGCTACAAGGTTTGTTTGTAACAATTGTTGGATTGAAATACACACTGAATTTCAAAGGAGATGATGAGTGAGAGTGCTGCTGAAATGGATAAGTTCCTTTATTGTAGAAGAAAAAGACATTTAAGGAGGGGGAATGAAGTGAATAGCAAGAACCTGTTGAACAAAATGGAAATGTTGGGACTTGTGGAAGAGGGGATTTTAATTAGTAGTACCTTATCAATGCTTGGAACTTTTAATTACTGAGGAGAGCAGCAATCCATATAAGAATTGTAGATTTTAATTTGTGGTAAGTTGTAATACTTTCTGTTTCAGATGACGAAGAGCAGACCTTCTCTTTTGGGAGCTGGTGGACGGTGACAATCATGGCACTCTTGATCAGCATTGTGGGACTTGTAGTGATACTGTGGATGTTCTTTGACCCTGTTGTCGCTCCTCAGAAGGTAATTTTTAAGTTGATTGTTGTAAATTTAGAAAGAAAGAGAAAGAATCATATTTGGAATGTTATTTTGTTCCTTGTGGTTTCTATATTTTTGTTTTCTCTTTTCCAACAGTTTGGTGTGGTAATGGATGCAGGATCATCACACAGTGAGATATTTGTCTTCACATGGGAAGGTGACAAACCCCTTGGAACTGCAGACGTTAAGCTCAAGCATAGATGTTTTGTTGCAGGTATGTTAAGAGATCAAATGATTCTTAAGTTCCCTGTTTTGGGGATGATTTGAAAGATACATAAGATATATTTTCTGGATTAATTTCATATTCATAAGACTTTATTTTGATGATGTCAGGAATCAGAACAAAAGTTTGAAAAGTTCCTTAACTTTAAGCTTTAAAGCTTCCAGCTTTAAGAATGGAAATGCTCCCTTTATGTGGTTTCGCTAACTGTGTGCAATTTTCAATTAAGTTTGTAAAAATGATTTCTAAAATTTAACACTTCTTGACAAAAAGAAATCTTTCAAAATGCAAAAAGTTTTAGATTCTGCTGCACCGTCATTTTTAACCATAAGTGATATGTTATCATATCATGGTGAATAATCACAAACACCTGTTAGCATCTCATTAAGTCATGATTCAGTGTACTAATCACTGAAATGAGGTCTTGCATTTAGTACCAAAAATTGGACAATTACACAGGTGTGGAGTGGCACACATTAATGTATTCCTATCCCTTGCCTGACTTCATGGAAAATTTTACTCTTTGTGTATAGGTTGAGTAAAGTTCATTGAAAATATTGAATATCCACCAAAGAGAACTAAGAAACTTGTATTAATGTTAAATTTAACCTTACTATTGCATGTTTTTACTCTACCATAGTAGATTGCTGTCTCAGTGTCAAATTCACTTGATAACTAATTCATTCACTACTAAAAATGCAAGGACCATGAAATCTCAAATGCACATTTGACTGACTTTTCAGGCTAGCATTCTAGTAATCCAATACTTGTAATAGTTCAGGTTGCTAATACTTTTTGATATAGAGGGAACCTGAAATTAGAGGACACAATGAAAGATATGCCATCAGAGTATATAAATTTTATTTCCCTCCCTCCATCCCTTCCTCCCTCTCTCTCTCTCCCTCTCTCTCTCTCCCTCTCTCTCTCCCTCTCTCTCTCCCTCTCTCTCTCCCTCTCTCTCTCCCTCTCTCTCTCTTTCTCTCTCTTTCTCTCTCTTTCTCTCTCTCTTTCTCTCTCTTTCTCTCTCTCTCCCTCTCTCTCCCTCTCTCTCCCTCTCTCTCCCTCTCTCTCCCTCTCTCTCTCCCTCTCTCTCTCCCTCTCTCTCCTCTCTCCTCTCTCTCCCTCTCTCTCCCTCTCTCTCCCTCTCTCTCCCTCTCTCTCCCTCTCTCTCCCTCTCTCTCCCTCTCTCTCCCTCTCTCTCCCTCTCTCTCCCTCTCTCTCCCTCTCTCTCTCCTCTCTCTCCCTCTCTCTCCTCTCTCTCTCCCTCTCTCTCTCTCTCTCTCTCTCTCTCTCTCTCTCTCTCTCTCTCTCTCTCTCTCTCTCTCTCTTAACATTTGTAGTGATTATCAAGGCCTGAATTAAATATAAAAATTTCCTTCAAACAGGTGGTATAAACAGCTTTGCAGCTCATGCAAATGATCTGGGTAGATATTTAGGAAAGTGTCTTAGTGTGGCTGAAAATCAAGTGCCAAATCATATGCGGAAGGAAACTCCCTTCTATGTTGGGGCTACAGCTGGTATGAGGATTCTCAGGTGAGAGAAAATTAAGGTTTTAAATCCATTACCTAGGATATTTTTCATGAGTACATATTTTTTTATTGATATATATGTAAAGTTTTATACTTGTAAAAGAAAATATATACGGATTTGACGAAGCTTAATTCCGGTTAAATGTGTCATGTTGATTTCATGGCTTCCATCCATTATCATTGGGATATCCTCTTGACTCTATCAGTATTGCCATGACAGATAGGCCTATAGTTATTGCTGCCAGCCAAAGGAGGTGTATAGAACATTTACAACCACTAACTGAAATAGTTGTCACAGAGTTAGTAAAAGACCATTTGAAGAAAATTAATTTTTAAGTGCATATAAAGTGCCTCTATATGAGATTTGGGAAGACATTAGCCAAACTTTTAGGCATGTATGTTTTAAATTTTAGCCAGTTATAAGGCAGAAGAAAGAATGTAACCCACTGATTATGGATGGCATGTCATGGTCACTGTAATCTTACTATATTTATTGACTTTACACAAATATGGCTCCATGAGTGCTTATTCACCAAGGAGTCAATTATTAGTCCTACATATCTCACCCATTTATCCTATTCCTTGATTTTGGGAATAAAAAATTATTGTCTTTAATAACATTTATCTTCGTTAGGAAAGATAAAAAATTCCTGCAGTTTCAAGGAATGAGGAGGAAGTACGAGTGGTCACTAGAGCCGACTCCTAGGTGGCTGAGCGCTTGTGGAGTCACTTGTGTACAACAAAATTCACAAAAAACTATAGTGGACTAAGAAGGGAGGTCAGTGGGTTAAGAAGGATGGTATTTCACTTGCCATTGAGAAAGGCTTTGAGTGAGTGTTGGCGTTAAATGTGTGATTGCACTAATTCCCACTCCACACTGGTCAAGGTACGGAATGTAATGCATAGAAGAACTATTGAGCATTGGTGTACAGGGATGCAGAATATTTTTTCATTCAATTTCAGTAGCTATATCACACTAATAGCCTATTGATCAATGATTTAATACCATACTAGACATTAGTGATCATTTTTTGCTATTAACCCAATGTTGCCGGGGAAAATGCTGTGCTTATTATATAATTTTTTGTGAAATATGTCTGCACATAGATGGCTCTGCATCTCTGCATCTACCGGATTTCTCCTTTCCTTGAATTTACGGGAAAATATTGTTTTTACTAATATTATCAACATTGATAGTGTTATTTTTATTATAGACCTTATAATCGCTATAATGTTATTGACATTAGTAACGGCAGTATAAGATGACAAAACATATTTCGAAAATCAAGGAAAAGGATAAACAAGCGAGACAAGTAGTACTCATAATTGGCTCATTGGTAACTTAGTACAAGTGGAGCCATGTATGTGTAACAACAATTAATAAATTTAGACTCACACTGGACATAGCATATACATATGTGCCATACCCATTGGCTTTGGGTTTAAAGTTGAATTCTGTGTTATAGAATTGCTTATGCTATTATGTACTGAAGTTCACAATTCTATTGCCAGGGATTTTGATCCAGAAGGAGCAGTTGCAGTTCTAACAACATTAAGGGACTTCTTGGAGACAAACTCAACATTTAAAGTACAACACAAGAACATTGGAATTATACCAGGTTATGAAGAAGGCACTAGTGGTTGGATAGCAATTAATTATCTTGTTGGTTCCCTGAAGCAGGTATATTTTCTTCTTTCTTTCTTTCTTCCTTTTGGATGATAATGGTATAATATTTAGATTATCGCATTTGACTTTGGACACAGCATTGCCAAAAAAAAAAATTGTGTCTTTGACTTAGAAAACATTTGTATCTGAACATTTTAACCTTTTTAATTCCAACATGAAGTGCATTTTAAGATGTTAACCTCCATTCTATTTTGCAGACAGAAGCATCAACCAAAGCTGCACTTGATGTGGGTGGAGCCTCAGCTCAGATAACTTCAGCTCTTCAGGGAAAGTGGAAATTGGACAACCAGGAACCTTACTCTTTTTAATCAGACCCACAAGTAAGAGTTTTGTTGTTGTTGTTGTTGTTGTTTTTTCCCCATATGATTTTCTTTTTTTTGGTAAGGTAAAACATTAAGAAATTTTGCTCCAAAAATGGTGCAGGAACTGAGGAATGAAGTTAAATTTAAGTTAATGTGATGAATAAAGAATAGACTTTTGTCCATTTTTTCAGTGTGCACTTTGTGCCTGTTAATATATATAGTTTAACCATTTAGTAGATCTCTCAGTATGTATCTGACTTATATTTGTCCTCTTTTACACTTAGTATCCAGAGTCAATCTTTCCTCTGCTATGGAATTGGACAAGCCCAGCATCGTCACAACTTCCTCCTGTTGACTGAGAGCAAGACCAGTGGAGGGAACTCATCCAACCCAGAGGTTCCTGTGGACCCTTGCTTGCCAACAGGAGCAAGTCATGAAATATCTGAATTGGACTTGAACGGTCCCTGTACACTCACTGGGGATAAAAGACCTGAGTTAGCTTCTATGTCAAAAATGAGCCAGAGCAAGATGAAGAAGATTTTTAAAAATTACATGGGAAAAGGAGATGATGAAGATCTGGAAGAAGCCTTGAGATTAGCATCAGAAGCTTTAGGAAGCGACACAAAGGTAGCACCTCAGGTTATCACGGGGTCTAGCAATGCCAAGGAATGTGATCGAAAAATGGAGCAACTGTTCGATCTTCAGTTTTGCAAGAAAACATTCAGATATGGTGATTGCATGAATGCCAAGCTGGTTCCTGCTGTGACCGGAGACTTGATTGTTAGTATGTTATTGATTTTTTTGTGAATATATACAGTTAAGTATGAAGGATAAGTTGTCCAGTGGGTTAGAAAGTGTTTGTTTTCAGTTAAAGAGCACAGGAAAATATATTAAAATCTTTGAAACTACTTTAATACTTTCCCCAGAGTACAACTGAACTATTTTTTTCAGGCATTTTCTGGCCTTTTTTACCATCTGATGCTGCTGTTACAAGTGAAGTCAGATTCTAGCTTGGATGACTACAAGGTTGCTGTTGATCGTGTGTGCTCATTGGAGTCAGAAGCCTTATATGCTGCCTATCCTGGTAAGGGAAGATGAATATGAATAGAATTATGATATGCAAGAGAGTGGCTTCCTCTCTCTTTGGCTTGTATATTCTTAGATAGAGCTCTAATAATGTTAGGATTCTGGAGGTTTATATGATGAGAGAATTTCATGACCATAGTTTTCATATCAAAATTTGTGCTGCAAAGTAGAATAGTGTCTAAAATTTTGATACTATATGCTATGGAGGGATAAAGTAAATCTACTATGGCTTATAGTAAGCTGCTGACCTGATGAACATAAAGCTGATTTTATAGAATTTGTGTCTTGAGATTTTGTCACTTTTTCACTGGGATTAAATTGGTAAAATAAATAAATAGAAAACATCTCATACCGTCATTATTATTTGAAAAATAGTATGTAGTGCTTCTTTCATGAATATGATGTTTTTTTCCCCCCATCAGATGTGGACAAAGATATAGTGGAAGACTTGTGCTTTGATGGCATGTATGTGTACAAACTCCTAACAGTTGGCCTGGGTATTGACAGCTCATCATGGAGTAATATAGACTTCAGTCATCAGGTTTGTAATTTATACTTTATGATTTTTTTTTTATCAGTAGGATAAGCACTTGATACATTTTGATCTAAAGCTTCTTTTGCAAACTTAAGACATGAAGCACAGAGTAATGGCTTTTATTGAGGTAGTATGAAGAAAGATCTAGTTAATGCAGACAATGTCCCTTTAGTGTTTTCCCACTTATAAAAATGTTTTCACTCTAAATATTAAGAAAGAAAATTCGGTACATTTTACATAGAATTATCATTACTTTTACCTACAGGTGAAGGGCATGGATATTGAATGGCCTTTGGGCTTCATGCTGAACAAGACCACCAGTTTCCCTCCTGCTCACACAGACCGTCCTCTGACTGCTACCACGTTTTCACTGTTGCTTTTCCTCTTCTCAGCATTCCTCTTCAGCGGCATACTCTTCCTACGTCACTCCATCAAGATCAGGAAGCACAGTGCCTCTTATCAAAGGTGTGACTCTCACCAAGCATAGATGCATTTGTATTATTTCATGTGCCATGCAACTAGCTGTCAATTCTACCTTTTGCTCTGTGTAGCAGGTGGTGCCCTTTGCAGTGTATTCCACTTCCCTAAGATGCATGTATATTCAACCTTAAATTCAGTGACACATCCTTGCAATCAGATTGCATGAAACTCACATCAGAGGGATTACATAACAAGTAAGGAAAAGTTATATATAATGCCTTAAAGTCAGAGATTCAAAAGCATTATGTCTATAGAGAGCTGACGGTAAATCATTCAAGTAAACAGGATAATAATTAAAATTTCATTGAAAAAATAGATAATGCAAACTAGTACCTTAAAAGTTAGGGGTTGTGAATTTAGGTCCAGTGATAGAACCTGTGATATATATATATATGTATATATACACTATATATATCTTTAAAATAGATTATTTATCTTCTCTTTATTATCAGAAGTTAAAGCAGTCCAGTGGAAATATGGTAATCTGCTTGCTTGCTAATATGCTTTTGAATTCGGTAATAATATTTAAAAAGATTGTACCTGAATTCCACCAACTTAAGTCATCTCTGGATCTTGTACTACTCAAGGAAGTTCTAAATCTCAGAGTGAGAGTGAGTGAGTGAGTGAGTGAGTGAGTGAGTGAGTGAGTGAGTGAGTGAGTGAGTGAGTGAGTGAGTGAGTGAGTGAGTGAGTGAGTGAGTGAGTGTGTGAGTGTGTGTGTGTGTGTGTGTGTGTGTGTGTGTGTGTGTGTGTGTGTGTGTGTGTGTGTGTGTGTGTGTGTGTGTGTGTGTGTGTGTGTGTGTGTGTGTGTGTGTGTGTGTACATTCAATTTATAGAGATGAATATATTCAGTCTCCATCATTTGTTTTTGTATTTGGAAAAAAAAAATCTACTTGTTTTTCTGCATGTGTAACATCATTTATATACAAAAAATTATATTTTTATAGAAACCGTTGGTTATGTAACCAGAAACATTAATGATTTCACATGTGACAGTTCTTTTGCCTTTTTCATTCTTGAATTAATGGCATAATTTCTTTGTTTGTCATACTCCACCCAAATTTATATTCTCCCCATAAATATCTGGTAGAGATGTTAGTATTGCCTGGGTTTTTTTCAAGATTGCTGCAAGGAAAACAATTTTCATCAAATCCTTTAGGGGAACAGGTATATGTAGAGGCCTGGTTTTAGTTTGTGAACATAAAACCTATGCCGAGCTTTTCCTTGTAGCTTGTAAAGCATTCATTTATGCTGCTACTTTCTTAAAATGGTTGCTTTCTTTTTGCTATAATTCAGCATTGGAAACTGACTTTACAAAAGAATATACAATGTGATTATACATAAGTTTGGCATAGCATGTGGATGAAATCAGGGTCAGAGTGACTATTCCACAAGGCTTGTGCAGTTGCTCATGTCTTTTGTTTCCTCCTTGCAGGGTAATTGCAGACCATTTTGATCATGAACTCCGTAGGTTTATATGAGGATAGGAAAACTTCTTGCGGCATTTTTTAAGAGATAAAGAGACATGGACATTGGTAAATATTTGAAGAGATCAACAGTAAAAGCATTTTGTTTCCAGATGAGATTTTTGGACGCTTCCGAAATATTGGAGCTGTCTGCTGGGGGTTGGGGGGTAATGTGCCTGGTTTTTAACCCCATTTGTCTTTCGTTTGTGGTAAATGGAAATGTTCGTAAATTTGTTGGAAAACTTTAGTTACTAGACTTCATATATACCTCATATATCCTGTAGGATTAAAACATTAGTCTTCTGTATCTTTCTTTCTCTTGGTCTGTTCTAATTTTCCTTTTGGTGTTACGTAAAGTAGATTTTTCTTGTATGTAGATATCTAAATGCTATTTCCTTAGGAATTTGGTTGTTAAGAGTTACTGAAAGTAGAAATGGATACCTTCAAAATCTATTCTGTTGTGATAAATGTCAATCAATTCAAAGATATGTTTGTCCGATATTTCTATAAAGCGTGTATTGTAAGGTTTACACACTTTTTGGGGGTTGTGTTCAGCATGTTTGATATGACTTCATAATGATGGTATTGAGAACAGCTGGTAGAAATGTAAAAATTTATGGTTGTGAATTTGTGTTCATATGTTACAAAAAAAAATATTTTTGTTTGTTGGATTACCAGTCTTTTTCATGCTGAGATCACATTGTAAGTAAAGTCTGGTCTCTTACTAGGATTATCATAAACTTAGTAAGGAAAGTATATTATGAAATTGATATGTAATGAAGGTATTTCATCATTTACTGTGAATTTGTAATTCTACGGAGGTTCATCAACTCTTTCTTTCTTGTGCAGACATTTCCCAAATGTTAAGTAATTTTGAATAAAAGAAATTATGACGCAAGCTTTAAAAAAAAATAGCTGTATTATAGAACTATGGCTTAATTTTACCTGGAATTATAGTCACTAACAATTGATAAAAGATATTGTTAGTTTAGGAAAGGGAGTCTTTATAGTTACCAAATAGAGCATTGTCATAAATATTTTCATATAGAAGAAGATGCTTCTTTGTCATTGTTTATTTTGGAAACGTACACTTGAAATCCATAATTCAGTTTAAAAAACCTGTAGGTGTTTTTATTTAATGAAAATATTTATTTCCAAGGTACGAAAATTAAGATGCAAAGAATGTAAGCCTAAAGATATTCAAATCAAAGTAAGCTTTATGATACAGAATATTGAATTATGGGTTATTGATGTATGTTTTTGAAAAAAATTGTATTATTGTGATTTGTATTATAGCATTTGTTTGTAAACTCTTTAAAAAAGAACACACTTCTTGGGTGTCTGTTTACAAAATCTTAAAAGAACGTTATCAGTAAAAGTTTATTTTTCCCTGCAAAATTAA